GTGTGTGTGTGTGTGTGTGTGTGTGTGTGTGTGTGTGTGTGTCACGCAGAGATCAGGACCCCGCGGTTCGTCACTTCTACGGTATTTAATGACTCCAAACCCTCTCTGTCGTGTGTGTGTGTGTGTGTGTGTGTGTGTCGCGAATCTAGTCATGCGCTGCATTTTGACGACGTCTTCTACGTCTGGGTACCCAGAGAACCGTTCCGTTCACACCGATGGCTCTCAGCATACGTGCTTGTTCTCCGGCTTCCACGTGACGTCCTCCATTTCGCAAGCAAGCTTGTAGTCTTGCCTTTAAATTAGACCTTACTCTGGCAAGAATAGTTTCATTTCGTGTCAATCTAACTACTCCCTCATCGACGCGCTGTCTTAAATTTTCAGCTGTTCTGACCGCTATGCCCGACCTATAAACAAATGCTTTCAGAGCTCCCCAAAAGAAAAAATCTAGAGGATTTAGGTCGGGAGAGCGAGGTGGCCACAAATGTGGTGCAGGTCTGCGTCCTATCCACCGGGTTCCGAAAAGCTGATAAAGAAAAGCACAAACTTGCCTACCAAAATGTGGTGGTGCGCCATCATGCATGAAATAAACGCGGTTGCGGCGCTCACGGGGAATAATTTGTCGCATTCTACGCACTAGGTCATGTCGCAAAAATGTAAGATAATGCGCGCTTGTCAGTCGCAATGGCAGGTAAACGGGACCAATATAACTATTATTAATAATTCCTGCCCAGACATTAATCGCGAAACGCCCCTGTTGAACACGCTGTAGCATGGCGTGAGGGTTCCGATAAGCCCAAATACGGACATTCTGTCTGTTCAAAATGCTCGTGCTAGAAAAACTAGATTCATTTGTGAACAGCACGTTTTCTAAAAAGTTGGGATCATTACGGAGTTTTTGTAACATCCACCGACAGAATTCTTTGCGAGCATAACGGTCTCTAGGCCGCAATTCCTGCACTATTTGCACCCGGTAAGGCCGCAAGCCCTCCTCGCGTATTATGCGAAGCACTGTCGGGTGCGATATGCCTACGCGTGCCGCTATACGCCGTAAACCCATGACGGGAAAAACTCGTGCCAATGCAATGACCCGCTCTTCGGTTTGCCAATGAATTCGAGGTCGTCCTGCTCTATGATGACCAGCGGCCCGCATTTCAAATCGCTCTTGGTCCTCAAAACGTTCTTCAAGGCGTTGAAATTCTCGACGATCTGGAATTTCACAAGGGCGTACCCGTCGTCCGTTAACGCGATTTTGTAGAAAATTGGCATAAATTTCGCGTGCTCGTGCATAATTTCCAAGGGCTTGGTCAATTGCTCGGAGCATTAGACGTTGGTCACGACCATCTCTATGCATTCGCCTACGTTGATGTCGCAAACGACGTTCCATCGTAAGCGTTTCCAAATCAAAGGCAGAGTGAGATACCGACGATATTTTGTAATTAAGCCGTAAGGTTCTCTAGGCCGCGTACCGTGGCAAAAGAACAAGTGTCTAGTTGGCTCTCATGACCTCTTTATATACGAGTTAAATTCGCGCCTGACGCCGCCTATGGAGCGCCGTGGGAAGCTTCCGTGCACTGCGGCGCCACCTAGCGCTACCCAGCGTTTGCGAGTAGTAGTGGCTGGGCCGCCGTGCTTTAAGGCCTTGGCACATAGAAAAACTTAAGCAGTAA